CTCTGAAATGGAAATAAGAGAAAGCCCACAGAGAACATGGGGAGCAGGGAGCCCTCAGTGAATGAACACGTGTCCTCCCACCCCTGATCGACATGGAGTGACCACCTGGACACAAGTTCTATGGTTCTGTCGCTCTTCAGACATATACTTTTAATGGATTCTCTGGGTTGGAGAATACTGTAAGCTTAGTTTTTCCTGTGAATTGATACATAAAATGATTGGAATACATCAGAATTGGAATTCTGACAGCAACTACATTATAATCCACTAGATAATCTCTATGCTTCCTTCCCACTTCATCGTTTTATACTAAAAGAAGTAGCATTGTCTGGAGTCCAGCAGAAAAATAACTCTATTGGATTTGCGCTTAACAATTCCACGAAGTGGTCTTTGAAATTTATTAAAATGGGCTACCAAACTCTATTAGTTTCTTATTTTTATGGTAACAAATCACCACAAACTAAGCTGCTTAAAACAATATATATCTGTTTTCTTTCAGTTTGGGAGGTCAGGAATCTAAAATCAAGGTGTAGGCAGGGCTGCATTCCTTTGAAGGCTTCAGGGGTCATTTTATTTCCTTGACTTTTTCATCTTCTGGAAATTCCTGCATTCGTTGGCTCGTGGCCCCTTCTGCAAGTCACTCCAACATCTTTCTTCCATCATCACATTTCCCACTACTGACTCCAATCCTCTTGCCTCCCTCATACAAAAACCCTGAAAATTACAGCATCCTGCCTGGACAACCCAGGATAATCTCCCCATCTCAAAATCCTTCATTTAACCACTTCTGCAAAGTCCCCTTTACTATGTGAGCCAAATGCAGGAAATTAAGTAGGACACTAAATTCTGAAAGTGCCAAAAGTTAAGGTTGTCATGGTAACGTGAACACAGCAACAGAACAAAACCTGTTCCTCAGAAGGATACACTAAACAGCTTTGCACAGTTATGAGCTGTTCAAAGAGCTGCTTTCATTCAATGACCCAGACCCCTTTACAACCACACATTAGCTGTGGTTCTGTGGCTACAAGATGATAAATGGCTTGCCTGACCCATTTCAATTCCACAAATATTTAGGTGTCATCCACTACATGTAAGATGTGTAAGGTGTGGAGCTAAGTTCTCAGAGGATACGAATATGAATAAGACATGAAGTGTTGACCCCAGAAACTTTTCATCCAGGGCTAAGCACACAAATGATGATAGAAAAAGTTCACAAAGCAGAAAGAGTGCTAAGGGAAGTCAAAGAGGTGAGCGGGTGAGAGGGTTCAGAGTGCTGGAACACAAAAGTCTCCTGGATCAGGCAGCATTTGAAATGGATGGGATATTTACAAGAAGGTGGAAACACCCCAGTGAAGCTCACAGCTAGAAAGAGCAGAGTGTGCACGAAAACAGTAACAGTGTGGCTGAAATAAAGATTACATGAAGGGGTCTTAAGACAGGCAACAATGTAATTAGCAGGTATCCCTGTTTTAAATAAGGATAGTACCCAAATTTGAAAGGTCAAAGATCTCTTCCTATCTCTACTTCACCTGATTCTTCTACTGTAACAACATCTTTTCAGAAAAGCCCTTATTGGATTTTTTCAGACTTTTTACTGTTCATGCTGTTTCATGGCTATAAGCCTTGGCACATCTTGTCTCCTGGTACCTGAAATGCAAGGCAGAAGTTATTGTATGGCTTGTCCAGATAAGCACGGTGAGAATCAGAGATAAATTTCCAAAGCCTACACAGGGACGAAGTGGTGAAGCAAGCATTTAAATGTTGTCTGACTACAAAGATCAAGTGGTTTTTTTTTTTTACTTTGATTATTGAAGGTACCACTTTGTATTGCAATTTCTTGTTTGAATGGTTCACCCCACAATTGACCTGTGAGTATCTTATGTATAAGGTTCATACCTTCCTCACTTTTGTATCCTCAAAATCTAATTCAATAATGAACACACACAGAAGGACCTAAGTTTTGTTGTATGAGTGAGTAAATAAATTTTAGGCAAGCAAAAACTGAAGGCAACATTTCCCTGTGAAGATAAAGCCTTTTTCCATTGACCAATGGTATCAATTGTATGCCCCGTTACTGCAAAACTTGATGGGCTTTATTCATCAACTGCTTATTTATAATAATTTTAAAAAATTGATATGAACTTCAGGGATGTCCCTTCTCTCATCTTCATTTATGCTTTTCCCCCTCCCTTCAGTTCTGCCCAAAACATGTTCTCCAACCGTGCTGGTGTCTTTGGAAGAGGTCATTCTAGCACACTCACCAACTGGGTTTTTATGTCCTGTGGTTTAGGGACCTCACCTAAAACTTGAATATAACCCGATACCATAGGGCACCACTGACTTCTCAGAGTCCTATTTGAACAGGCTTCCAGAAAGGCTCTGGCTTCCTTCTGTCCCTCCTTTTCTGGAAGGTTTTTTTGTTGTTTTTTTTTTTAATCATCTACGGACACTGCAATGATCCTTTCTTTTTTCTAATTACAATAAGAGACATTCATTTGCTCTTTGTCTGTGACTCCACCCAACCTTAGGAAGCCTCCCAAGAGACTTTAACCCTGAGTTTTCTTCCTCTGAGTTTATGGGCTCTGACTAGTGCCTTTCTACGAGATCTGTGATATTAAACATTTCTGAGGAGACAAGTTATTTACTCTTCATGCATGACTCTACCCTGGTTCTAGTTTTCAAGTATTGAAAAGATCGCCAGCATCTCTTCAAAACTACTAAGTACATATTTTGGAGTGGTAGTGAATTTGTCTTCTGTCTCATATTCTGAATGCTAAACTGGTTGCCAAATTCTGCCAATGTCTTCTACACCAATTTTTTCTTAACCCTCCCTTCCCTTCTGTCTCTCACTCACTGTAGGTTTGCTGGGCTTATTGAATTTTTCAAACATCTTTGCCTTTATGCTAACCATGTTACTACTGACAAAGGTGTTCTCTTTGTATTCTTTAAATGGGGCAATTTCACTCTAAACCATAATGGAATCTCACACACCTTTTGATCACATCACAAGTCTTCAGGCTTCCCATCAAGATGGCTGCGTAGGTACATGTGATACTCACACCACATGAAAATTACAACTAAACAACAGAACAACCATCATTCAGAACGACCTAAAATCTAGCTAAAGAGAAGTCCTACAACTGAGGATATAAATAAGGAGCCACGGCAAGGCTGGTGGGAGGGGCAGAGATGCAGAACAGGCTGACCCCACACCCACGTGTGGCAGATAAAAATGATGATATCCTACTACATAGGTCCCTACTGAGGAACAAGGGGTGCCAGCCCCACACCAGACCCCCCCAGCCCAGGGTTCTGCACCAGAAAGAGAAGACCCTGTAACTTCTGGCTGTAAATACCAGCAGGGATTGTGGCTGAGTGAGATGGGGGGCTTCTGGAATCCCAGGCAGTTCCTCTTAAAGGGCCTGTGCATGGACTTAGACTCACTCCCTCTGAGCTCCAGCTCAGGGGCAGCAGCTTGAAAGGGACCAGAGACATATAGGGAGGAACTGAATTGTCTGGCATCATGGCAAGAGCTAGAGGGGCAGCTTTCTCCCAGGCAGAAGTGCTAGCAGAAGCCATTGTCCCTTTCCTGAGCCCTCTCCCTTCATAGCAGGGAAGTGGGTGCCATATCTGAGACTCCATCAATCTGGTTCACACTGTTCACCCCCTCAACTGTGGTGATTCCCTGAGACCCCACCTCAACCAATTGCAGGCCCACCCAAGCTGTTTCCAGTGGCATTTCCATACAAATGGAAGATAGGCCAGCAAAAAATAAAAATAAAAATAAAAATAAAATAGGATTAGTATAAATAGCCTCTACAACAACTTTAAGTGTACCAACATTCACATCATAGAGGGTACCAGAAGTGTGAGAGCAAAAAATTGAAAACCTATGTGAAAAAATTATGGAAAACTCCCCTAACTTGGTGAAGGAGATAGACGTGCAAGTACAGGAAGCACAGAAAGTCCCAAACAAGATGAACCCAAAGAGGCCCACACACAGACACATCATAATTAAAAGGCAAAAGTTAAAAACAAAGAGAAAATCTTAAAAGCAGTAAGAGAAAAGCAGTTAGTTACCTACAAGAGAGTTCCCATAAAATTGTTAGCTGATTTCTCAAAAGAAACTTTGCAAGCCAGAAGGGGTCAGCAAGAAACATTCAGAGTGATGAAAAGCAAGGACCTGCAACCAAGATTATCCTACCCAGCAAAGCTATCTTTTAGATTTAAAGGATAGATAAAGAGCTTCCCAAACAAGAAAAAGCTAAAGGAGTTCATCACCACCAAACCAGTATTACATGAAATGTTAAAGGGTCTTCTTTAAAAAGAAGAAAAAGAAATAAAAATATGAACAATAAAATGTGAACAAATACATATCTATCAATAACTAAATCTATAAAACAAAATAAACAATTAGAACAGAAAAAGACTTATAGATACAGAGAACTTTTTGACAGTTGCCAGATTGGTAGGGTGTGGGTAGATGGGTGAAAAAGGTGAAGGGATTAAGAAGTACAAATTGGTTGTGACAGAGTAGTCACGGAATACAGTATAGAGAATATTATCAATAATATTCTAACAACTATGTATGGTGTCAGATGGGCACAAGATTTATCAGGATGATCAGTTAGTAAATTACATAATATCTACTCCCAAGGATGTACACCTGAAACTAATGTAATGCCATATGTCAACTGTAATTAAAAAATAAAAAATGACTTGCAGCGATGAATACAAAATATAATATACAGACAATGTATTACAGAAGTGTACACCTGAAACTTGTGTGATTTTATTAATCAATGTTACCCCAATAAATTTAATAAATAGGAAAATAATGAGTTTTGCTCTTGATCAAGATGCTACAAACTACCTGAATTCTTTAGCTTCCTCCCATGTCCCAAAGTCCCCCCCTTGATGATTTCACTCAACTCTGCACTTTAAGCCTCTCTCTTCTGCTTCTCCATTTACTGATTGATTGATTGATTGATTGATTGATTTAATGTGCCCCAGCCATGAGCCAGCTCTAGCCACCAGCCCAGGCAACAAGCCAGGATGAACTAAGGACTGTGCACCTGCCCTGACTGGTATGAGCAACACCACAGTCAGGTGTGTCTCGCCCATTGCCAGGGATTTGCTTCTCCGTTCATTTAAATTATTTCGGAAATTCTCTCCTCCAGTGGAGTCTCATTAATTAGGTAGATCCCATTCTACCTGGAAATCCTGTGAGCAAGATCCTCAAAATACGTGCAACATGTCCACGTCCAGTGCTTCTGCCTCGGTCAGCCGGCGTCCCCTCCACTGCTGCAGCCGCTGCCCCTGCAGAGCTCCCTGCCTGCCACACTGTCTGCTCTCAACACAACGCTCCACTGACCCTTTTTTTACAATCCTCACCTGAGGGTATGCTTACTGATTCTAGAAAGAGGAAGAGAAAGAAAGGGAGAGACATCCATGTGAGAAACATCGATCGGGTATCTCCCAAACGCACCCCGACCAGGATTAAACCTACAACCTAGGTTTGTGCCCTGACTGGGAATCAAACCTGCAACCTTTCAGTGTATATGGGACATGGTCCAACCAATTGAGCCACCCAGCCAGGGCTGCATTAATCCTTTTAAAATCTAATCAACTCACTTTCCTTCCCTTCTTAGAATCCTAAATGGCTCCCAAGTCAGTACTAGAAAAGGCCAAGTCCTGCATGGCCTACAAGGGCCTCCGAAGTCCCACCTCTGCCCTCTGAGCTCTCATGGCTCTCCCCCTTACACCTCCTCCTTGTACCTCCCCTTCTCCCTCCCCCTTGCCTCTCCCCCTTGTCCACTGCCCTCCAACCACACACTGGCAGGGCCGTCTGCTCTCTGGGGGTCCTGGCATTTGCTATCCCTCCTACTTGGGTCACAATCTCCCCATTTACCTATTTCTTCAAGTCACTGTTTAAATATCGTCTTATCCATCCTGGTAGCAGGGCCTACATAGAGTGCCCCACTTAAAAATGCAGTTGCACCCTTTCTTGGCTTTGCTTTTCTCCTTGGCATTGATCACCATCTAATAGGCTAAGATCGATTTATTTGCTTATTATTTGTCTCCACCCACTGAAAATCCAGTACCCTGAAGACAAGAATTTGTGTCTATATTTTTTTTATGAAACGGTGACAAGAATAGCACCTGGCACAATACAAACTCGTCCAATGAATGAAATCACGTTACTCAAAGTTTTATATTTTGTTCTCGTTATTGTTAAAACTTCATAGAGATACAGAACACATAAAACACAGTGTCTACAGTGCAGAAGTACAGATTCAGTAGTTTCACACTTTGGAGTGTTATTTATAAGTGACAGAGCCATGCTATTTGGCTTGTAAAGTCATAAATAACAATACACTCAGTGCATACAGAAGCTGAAAAGGGTCCCTGAGCCACCAGGCCCTCAGCTGGGAACCCAGACTAGAACACTAGATACAATTCAAAAGTGGGACAAAAAGAGAAGTTACCTTGTGAGAATAATGAGAAGATACATACAGTACTCGGAAGAAGTTGTCTCTAATCATTTTACTTGCAAATATTAGGATTTTATTAAGGTGTCAGATCTTTTTCCCCAGTTCACACAATGCCAGAAGGAAAAAAAAAGGCACCAGATCCTCAGTTTATATAAACAGTGAGCTATAACATTCAATACATAATAAAATAATGATGGGCTAGATAAAGAGTTCTGAATTTGAAACGTGATGCTTTGTTGTCTTGGATTTAATTGCTACCATTCATATAAAATGTTCACCACTGGCCACACAGAATAAATAAGAGTCTGAATCCTTTGGCTGTGGAGCCTTATTATAAAACAATTCTTTGCCAGCATCAGCCCCTCCACTTGAAGTGGCAAAGATGATAAGATGATGCTGCTGCCGCCCCGGCTGGCTAGTGGGTGAGGGGAGCTGCCATAAGGCGACCACTCAGAAACACGCTCCAGTAAACAGATGGGTCTTCGCAGTGCCCTGAAGGCAAACAGACCTGGCTCTGCTGGACCGGGGGAGGGAGTGCATTCCAGGGTCCTGTGTCCCTGCTTGAGAATACGCTGTCCCTGAGTTCCCCGACTTCAAACCTCCAGCTCCTTGATCTCCCAGGCGGGGAAGAATCCCAACGCATCACAGTGCTGCCTGGCTGTCCAGATAGAAGCCAGCCAGCACCCGAACCTGCTGGGCCAGGTGCACCGTGAGCCTGCGCTGTCAGAGCGGCGCAGGTGTAAAGACATTGTGAGGAAAGGGGAGGAGGGCTTGGATAATTATCACCGCTCTGCAAACTCGAGAAAGCGTGTCTTCTGTCCTTTGTTGCCACGGTTCAAGCGCAGTCTTCACTCTAATGGTTTTAAAAGAGAAAGAATTTATCAACATGTTCCTATGTTTAACGTACAAGCTCTGCTCACTCTGCCCCTAACACAATTGTAGTATGTTATTACTCATTTCAGTGGTAGGTGTTCAGGTTTTGAAAATGTTATTTGGTCAAAAGTTGAGATTTTACGTACACAGGGATAAACACACAAAGTTGTTTGGTACAGTATTGTTGTTATAGCAACAAAAAGTAACATGGAAAGCAGCATACATAAATAGATGCAGTTAAAGAAATTGTCACACAAACACAAAATGGAATAATACATAGCTTATAAAAATTGCACATGGAAAGATGTCCATGATAAATGTAAAACTTACGTACCTTCTCACTTCATTAAAAATGTAAATGTCTTTACATAGAGAAATATTTAGGAAGATATTAACAGACTGCTTCAGGAAACTATGGGGGACTTCACCTCCTACTTCATATATTCCTGTAAGTTTTTTAAGTTTGTGACAAGTATCTATTTTTTTTTGAAGATTTTATTTATGTATTTTTAGAGAAAGGGGAAAGGAGGGAGAAAAAGAGGGAAACATCGATATGTGGTTACCTCTTGTGCGCCCCCTACTGGGGACCTGGCCTGCAACCCAAGCATGTGCCCTGACTGGGAACTGGTGACCCTTTGGCTCTCAGGCCAGCAATCGATCCACTAAGACACACCAGCCAGGGCGCTACTATGTCTATAAACAAAAACCATGTTCACATGTGTGTGTGCATGCATCTGTGTATATAATTAAGTTCTCCGAGCTTCAGGCATAATGAAATCCAAAGTAATAAATGTCAGAGTAATGGTAATTAATTTGTAATTAATTATATCTATAGAAGAGACTTATATTATGCTCTTTATCACTTCATAAGAAATATGGACCCCTAAAATTAGAAAACTAAGGTGGTTCACAGAAAAAACAATTTATTTTCTTTTGACTCAAAAGCACCTGTAACTAAATACCTATTAACTCCAGTAATCCACACGAAGCCAATAATGTAAAGATAATATAAATTTAAGTGAAAACTGCAGTCTCTATAGAAACGTCCTTGTTCCCCTGAACTCCCTCTCTTCCGACTCTACCCACCATCGTTTCCCCCATAAGCTCAGGCCCCAAGACCTGGGAACACTTTCTTGCTTGTTCCTAAGTGATGGAGTCTCACCACACAGAACACACTTAGTAAGATTCCAAAGTTTACCCTTCCCATATTTTCTAAGATTACTTATGACAGAAACACATAGACTGCCGTGTACACTGTATCACTTTTATAAAGATCTGACTTTCACTGCAAAATGTGGTAAGGAAAACAATTTTTAGATGGATAAAGAAAATTAAATACTCATTACCTCTGCTGTAATAGACCTGAGAAATTGTTTGAAAATTCTCACTGACTACTTTATGCTAGAAAGGTCCAAATTACAGATTAGCCTCTTTTTTGTTAAACTGGACTTCTAACAACCTCTCTCTCTCTGTGGATGATAAATTTAAATAAATATTTCTCTGCTGCCATCTTGTGGATTATTTCAGTAATGCAGTCAAAGCTCAGGAACAGACAAATCTAGTCTTCCGCCCCCAAATTATGCCAGATATGAAAAGACTGATTCCTAAAAGCCAGTTATTTGACAGAACAAAATATAATTTAATGTATATGGCATTCTACTTTTAACATATTAAACTCGTTACTAAGAACTAGGTTTATTTTTAAGTTTAAGGTCTTTTAACTGTTAAATGTTGTTACCTCAATAGAGACACAAAGTGCTTTGCCACTGCTTAGTAAGGCAGTAATTAATACTGAAGCTGTCATAAAATTCCTATGTAAAGCAACGATCACTAAAAAAAAACTAGCTTTTCATTCACACTGTTGGCATTATCTCTACCACCAAGTACTAAAACCTAGGAAGGAAAGTTTAAAAATCCCCTACCTAAAAGATAATATACATAGAATGTCAGTCTAACTCCAAGCCCAGTCCCTCCAAACCCACACGTCATTGGGAAATGACTCCAAAATACATGGCAAGAATTAATTTATGGTCTTGAACAAGGCAGGGGGAGAGGGTGGTCAGGCGAAAGATGGCCTCCACCCCCTCTCCATGGCCTGGGCTCTGTCCCAGCACCCTGCCCCAACATCTGTGAACTGCAGCCATCTCCAAAGCATGAACCCCTGAGGAGGACATGTGAGCTCACCTGGTGAGGTGGCTGTGCCACGGAACCCAGAACACCCACCAAAAGTGTCCTGGCCAGCCTGCTTTCTACTCGGTGAACTAGGAGTGTGATCACTACAGAGCTGCCTCCACCACAAAGACTGGGAGCGGGGAAGGGTAGGGCAGGGAAAGGGGAACCAGTATTGTGATATGGTGACTCATAAATGAAATATATATTTGTTCTTCATCTGTTCTGGCACAGAGCTCCTAAAATCCTTGGCATTTCCTAGGTGATGAGAGCATAAATGTGTCTTTTATGTTAATTGGGTGACTTTTGGAAAACATCTAGGGATGTGTAGATGCCAGAGGAGCCAATCATGTGATTAGAACCTCAGAGTTCTGAGGTTTAGAACTTTCAGTGAGAGGAGCTGGTGGTTGAATCAGTCTCCAATGGCCAATGACTGAATCAATCATGCCAATGTAATGAAGCCTCCTTAACAACCCAAAGGATGAGGTTCAGTGAGCTTCCAGGCTGGTGATCGAGTAGAGGTGTTGGGAGAATAGTGGGTGGTCTTGGAGAGGGCAGGGAATTTCTGCACGTTTTCCCGTATGTTGCCCTAATGCATC